AGTTTCTAATTTATCATGAGGAATGGTTGATTAAAGTGTTGAAAAGTGATACGATTTTCTGTTACTGTTTTATATATATATATATATATATATATATATATATATATATATATATATATATATATATATATATATATATATATATATATATATATATATATATATATATATATCGTACGTACTCGCCCATAAGTCGAATATTTGCTCCAAAACCCTATGTCCTACTTACAAGCGAGTCCTAGAAAATTTGGTATTCTTCTGCAGAGGAAATATAGTAATTTTGTAACGACCCCAACGATAATCTTTGCAGATAATTTTCATGCATATATTGTAAAAAAGAGAGATTTAAGGTTACCAAATGCAAAAAATACAAGTGTTTACAGATTTTAATGAATTTGCATTGGTACATTTGTTTCCGACTTATATGCGAGTCAATGAAAAATGACTTCAAAGTACCTAGCCAAGGAACAGTTGCTACTTTTTTTTCATCGACTTAAGTCAGTCGCGGCCGAGGTTTGAATCCACTAACTCCTGATCACGGAGCGATTGAGCGTGAAATAATCTAAGATATAGCTCTAAAGTCATTAGTAAAAAGTTTGTTGTGAAAACTTTACTAATAAAGAAATTATCTGTACGATTCCCAACCTCAATAGTAGCATATATGTAATCGCTTGAAATATCAACATATAACAAATTAGGTCCAATATACTTTTTAGAACAATATGCTGATAGTAACAAGTAACTATTAAAATAATCAATCAAATATTGACTTTCATTTTCCGATTTCGTAAAAAAATTACAATACAGATCAAAGAAATAATTTACACTGACATTTGTTTTTCAACGTGCATATTCCGATGTCTCCTTGTATTATCATTTTTATATAAACGCTCTTTGAATTTTTCCTACTATCAAGAAAATCTCGACGTAAACAAGAAGTAAACAAGAAATCAATTGTGTTTTTTTTATGTTCCTTTCTATCTAAGTATTCTATTCTCAACTCAATAGTTGAGCCGTGTCTGGAAAGTGTTACGACAAAGTGAAAGTTAAGGGATGCAGATAAGATGATTTTTGAGATTGACATCGATAATGATTGAGGTATAAATCAGAGAACCTCGTTTTTCTTGATTAGATTTAATACAGTGATTGTTAAAGGTTATTTTACAGTCAATTTTGCAGGAAAATAATACATGTAAACACCCGGTTTTGTTGTAGAAGAGAACACAATTTACATGTTAAATTTGACAATCTCGATGTTTTTTGGTATATAATTATGTTTTGGAAAAGTATTTAAACTCTTACCCTAATTTTACACTGGACAAGATGTCTAGAACATTACTATTGCAAAACTTCAGATGCCTCAGGCGGACAGTTCAATCGAGATCGATCGATTGAGATGGAGAGAGAAAGTCTTCTTTTTAAAATCTAATTTTAACTCCTTTTAAAAAAATTATGTTCTTCATATTCTTTTTCAAAGTATCTGGACAAATTGAAGTTTACATATTGGCTGATTCATTTTATCAGAGATCCACAATATGATCTTCTTGATATAAATCCAATGTCAGTGATGCTTAATCATCATCATTTTCAGATATTTATAAATTGGAGGAGAAAGTCGGTAAGTCTTCAGTATTGCTCTTTGCATTGAACGACATCTTAAAGGCTTGAAAAGAGTTGTAAGAACACTTTTTAACAAAAATAGCAAAAAAGTTTTTGCCTGGCTACAATGAAACTGTTCGAAAACATGAGCCAGGGTCTCCCTGGGAATCAGACGATGGAACCCGACGCCATATTGACGGACCACCTGTTAGTGACTGCTGGGGGAATCATGCTCTTTGAGAATATTGTGTCAATTTTCTTGCTCAGCATGTGTACTCGATTAAATTTTCAAATAAGGATTTTTTCTATCAACTTGGCTGTTTCCGACTGCTTAACTGGGTTTTTTCTTGCCTTGCCAAACACTTTGTTTCTCGAAAGATATAACTGCGATGTGAAAAAATATTCGTGTTTTTTGTTTATAAATGTTTCGCTTCTCATAATTTCAATGATGAGCCTGGATCGATGTTTTGCTTTTGTTTTTGCTATGAAGTATTATAGTTTTATCTCTAAGACAAAGATCACTAAACTCTGTGTGGGAATTTGGATAGCTGGATTTCTCTTAACCTATGGTATGTTTTTCACTTACAACAGTGCTTTTGGGCTAACCTGTAATCGTATTATCATAGTAAAGAAAAATGCTGTTAGCCTTACTTTCAGAGTAGTAATTTTATCTATTGTAGTTTCTAATCTTGTCGCGTTTTGCTATCTTTTGAACCATATTCGCAACCGCTTACGTAAAATTTGTGCAAAGAATTTCTCAAGGCAGAATGCTTTATTTTCAAGAGATCAATCAAAAATTGTACGGAAAATGTCGGTGTTTATTGGTGTATTTATAACGGGGTATCTGCCCTTTATGACGATCTATACTCTACCAATAATTGATCTGAACACAGAACCATGGAAAAAAATATACATCGCCTTTAGTGTACTGGTTTTATTAAACAGTGCATGTAATCCTGTGTTCTATGTCTGGAGATTTTCGGAACCAAGGCACCATATGAAACGTCTACTCTGCTTCTGGAACAAAACATTGATGGGAAAAATTGAGCAAGAATTTCGCGGGGTCCATGCTACATATGAAATATATCATTTGCAGACACAAATGCAAGGAGGAAACAGTCAAAAATGAGAATGTAATTGTGATAACTGTAATAAGTAAGAAAAACACCACCACCATGTAATTTGAAGATATGTTCATATTCAAGATGTATTGTGTGCACTTTAGCTTGCTTGAAGTAATTTTTTTATTTTATTTTAAAATAAAACGATGTAAAATGTTTTTACTAACTTTATTAAGAAAGAAAAACTGTTCTTTCATATTTGGAAGCTCAATGTCCCATGTTAGGGAATTAAATAGGGAAATATTGTTATGCATTAAATCATAAATATACAAAACTCGATGTTACAATGTGATTTTGACATAACAAGGATTCCTTGGAGACATCAAAACAGTATTATATACGTCGACATAGAGTGTAACAAAAAGTAACCAAATTAATGAGTTTACAAATAAATGGAAAGCTTTTATATGTTTAAGACCCTGAAACCAGGCATTTAAAGTCATATTGCAATTCCTGGATATACTTTTACCATGCAGTGCTTTAACTTACTATGATAACCTTCTCTCATGCACTTTCTCCTCTCTCTCAATTGTCATTATTAGAGATTTTTTGTTAATATATTCAAAAACAATACATAAATGCCTTATCTATAGATAGATATCTGTGACAACTGATTTTTTTTAAAAAAAGGAAACAATTTTAAAAAAGATTATAAAACATTCAGTTTTTCCTATTCAAATACTTCAGAAATGCAGAAAGTACGGTGTGTTAATGCCAATTTTAATAAATAAATTAATGTGAACAAAATGTACATGTATCGTATTGTTGTAATAATTTTAGGTGAAGAATATCTGGAAGATTAAGTAAAAGTGAGACCCTTTTCATATTTCTTATTAAATGACTGATGGAAGTTAAATTAAATATTGTATAACCACTTATTTTCTTGGGGTCAGATTTTCATTGTTGTGTATAAATTAATGGTTCGAGGGGGGTTTGATTTCGTGGTTAAAGGAGAAAACATCATATTGAAGTATGAAATTTTTTAGCTTTTCGTTTTGGATATGAATTCGTGGAACTCTTCATACCACAAAAACAACGAATATTAAACCCCAACGAAAATAAGTGATTTCACAGTATCTTCACAGTATCTTTCAGTTTCAAAGATCACCTTTCTAACCTTTCTAAACGTGTCCAACAGTCTGACGTCTTTTTATCAATTGATAATACATCCAGTTCTCCATATAATTCAATTTATAAAACATATATAAGGTTCTTTTCAAACGACTTTGTTGTACATAAGACAAACATGTGCAAGGTTTGCTATTAAAATTCAGTTTGTGACTGTATGTATCACCATGTTTGTTTTAAAAATAAAACAATAGTAAGAAAAAATAGAGCGGCTTCTATCGTCATTAATAATAATATTCAATGACATGCATATAAAGACAATTAATTAGCGGAACCACTATCTTTTTCATGACTTTCATTTGCGCTTATACGATGTATTGGAATTCATAAATTGAAGTTCGTTTTGATAGAATTCAATAAATTTGATCAAATAAAAAATTTGTTATCACGAATCGCAAATGATTTAGGGTTCGCTAGGGAGATTCCGTGCAAATATGCTTAATAAAACAAGCAAGAGGTAGGCGTATTAGAAAATAAGCTTCAAATTCATTTTGTTATACTATATTTACTTAAAACATGTCATAACCCAGTTACATTATGATGTCATTGTTCTTTGCTAATTGAGAAGAAGTAAAGAAAATCAATAAACCTGCAAATTGGCAAATTTTATTTAATTTTACAGAAATTGTAGAGTAAGAAGAATGCCCCAGATTGGTGGTATTATGCATTATCCCTTCTGATCAGAATATTTAAAAAAAAATACGTTTCTTCATGCAGTTTTTCCGTGTTTCAACTCCAATTTTAAAAAAATAAATTTTAAATATGAACATTAAACATCAATTGAATATCAGAAATCTTATAATATTCTTTAAATTATTGTACCTTTTTTCTGTTATATTAAAAAGAATATGCCCTATAGCGAAGTTGTTTTTGTGATGTTCTTTCGTCAAGTAGTAAAAACATTGACATCATAAGAAGACATCATTAGATGTATTTGCTATTATCTGAATTTAAACTTTCTCTGTATAAAAGGCACATATAAAAGGTATGAAAAGGGAACCGAAATATACATCTCTTGTCTGTGTGCGACATTTATTTCCGATTTTGACCAATTGCTGGCGAATGTCAACTTTCATTGCTGTTTTATTTCTTGATTTGTTTAAATAATTCGATGAAATATACTCATCAAGATTGCAAAAACATGCAAATGTCCTGGTATGAATTTTATTTCTTCCACGAATCTAAATTCAATTTTGGTATTTTTTGGCAAGGAACGAGTGGATTTCTAAAAAAAAAAATGACAGAATTAACGCACATATAAATAAATTTATTTTAAAGAATACATGTACCAATACTATTGATAACTATTATTACTACTGAGTACTGTAGATTCCTTATTTTACGCGAGTACTTAATATCGCGAAATGGCTCTTTGCTGCCAAATCGCGAGAACAATAATTCGCGCGTGGCCGGTTGAGAAAGAGATTTTACATGGATATTAGCCCCATGAAAATAAAAGCGAGTAATTTTATTTCGCGAGTTGTGCTTCTCGCGTAATTACGCGATAATTAATTCCTCGATTATATATAGGAATCTACAGTATTAATAAAGGTCGTGACATACATGAAAGCAAAATAATATACTTTGATTTCGTTATCAATTTTCACTTTTCCTTTAATTAAACTATACTATGTATGCCAATATTATGATTACATACCCCTACATACCCCTTATGTGGAATTTCAAATGCATCCTTCTGAACCTCGCCGATGTCTAAAGTATTACAGATTACAGAAGCCAATGTCACACTGCGAATGGCCTGAAGCTGACCTGTAAAAGATCCTCTGTATTTATTACCGATTGATGTTAACATTGATGTTGATCAATCAATTTCTTCTAATTATAGTTTGGTTTCTTGAAAATATTTCTACACATTTATTTCATTTTACGTCGAATAAATAAACATGTATATATCCTTCTCCATTTTCATCCGAACCAAAAACATCGCAAACGTGTATATGATTAGATATGCAAATCTCTTTCTCTCTCTCTATGATTTTAGAGATTGTCCTTACTTGGAGTGAATCCACCTATTCCTGGATTTTCGAACCAGTATCTGTCACCAAACTTCAGATCGTGAAACTGTTTTCCAAGTAAGCAGTTGAACAATGGCCCTAAAACACTTCCTTCCTCTGGCAGTTCTGAAATTCCTCCAGCAAATACATCAATGTCAGCCACTAACCTAGGAGACATGCAACATCAATCATATTTCTCTGTGTTCGTCCTAACAGAAAATGTTAGCTAAAGAATAAATCATTGTTTGTATTCTTCAAGGAAATTGCTCAGTGTCTGAATAATTCCTCTTATTTTCTGGGGGTATCTTTCCTTTCAATTCACAAAGTCTGCGAAGTCAATTTAACACACATCACCCAAACCTTTCGTCCTTTTAAATTCGTAGGATTATGTGACTAGCTAGAAGTTAGCTATTTTGATAATTTGCTTGTTGATGATTATTGAATTCGAATTATCTCTATGCACATCAAGACACAATTCTTGATAAATGGACTAGAGATATCCGATTTCGAATACACTGTAGAAAATCACAAACTTTAAAAACGTGTCTGCTCAGTTAACTTACATCTGCTGAAAGAAATATGGTACTTTGGAGTTTTGCTTTTTTAACTCAGTACTTGATTAAATTTGAAAATGTTTTTCATAAATGATATTCATTAATAAAATACCTTGAAAAAATCACAGGTGCATATGACACACTTCTGATAAAAAGATCGAAAATGATGAAAGACAAACGTAAGGCGTAATTTCGCATGAAACCTGTCTCAAATTCTTTTGATATCAAAGTTTATTTCCTTCCAGCATTCGTCCTTCTTAATAAAATCATCTCTTACTCGTAAACATTAGAAAGTTTCTCTCTCGTTTGGACATCATGGTCCACCAGCTGTCCAAATGACCTCGGTACGATCAGACCACAATGTTTTCTCCAGGCTGTGTACGAGGGAAGTCCGTGGTCACGCCCTCTTTGTAAATTTAAGGCAGACAAGTCAAAACTTTCACCCTTAAAATCAACGAATAGGGTATTTCGTACAGCTGATTCAATATGCCTGTCAGATAGAAAAAAATTCAGATGAAAGCAAGAAGAAACGTAACATTGATAATTTTTATTATAACTTTCAACATGCTAACAGTTAAGAACAAAGGCAAAGTGGTTAACATCATTGAAAAGACAAAATTAAGAAAAGAAACCTGTCTACTAGTCTGGAGTTATTTCGTAACACAAATCGGACCAGGTCTGGGAGGTATACGCCTTTCTGGGTTACAACAAGATGAGGATCCATAAGGGTGTCCTCCAGCTTGAAGGAACGACTTGTCATATCCTTGAACAGATATCCTAATTGTGGTGGAATCTGATAAACAATATATTTAAAAAACTGGACTACTACTATTATTTAAAAATTTTCTCTGAATACGATTGCAGTAGAAAAATGTAAATATTAAAAATAAGGCAATTCGTATAATTGAACTGATTAAATCAAATTGTGTCACACAGTCGCGAAGTATTAAAACTAAAAAAAAAAAAAAAAAAAAAAAACCAAGATGTGTTTGCGAAACACTGATGCCCCCGTAGGCAGCTTATGACCAAGGTTAAAGTTTCTTGAATGCAAGTCAAACTCTTTGTCAAGAAATCAAAAAATGTTGGTACCCAAAGAAAGGTCTTGTCTCGAGGAATATACCTGTGAAATATGAAAGCCCTAGTACAAACCGTTGAAAAGTTATGGCGAAGGTTAAAGTTTTTTCAAAGTAAGTAAAACGGCAAGGTCAAGGTCAAATGGTGACCAAAGAAAGTTCTTGTCACAAGTGATACACATGATCGTGAAATGTGAAGGTCTTGGAACCAAACGTTCAAATGTTTTGGCCAATGTTAAAAATTTTCTAAAAGTAGGTCAAACTCCAAGGTCAAGGTCAAAGGGTCAAAGTTGTTGATATCTTTAGGAAAGTCTTTTCACAAGGAATGCATATGTGAAGTATGAAAACCGTAGCAATAACTGTTCAAAAGTTATGTCCAAGGTTAAAATTTTTTTTAAATTTGAAGTAGGTAAAACTCCAAGGTCAAGGTCAGAATGTCAAAATTGTTGGTATGCAAAAAAGGTCTTGTCACAGGGAGTACACATGCAAAGTATGAAAGACCTAGCTCAAACTAGTCAAAAGTTATGGCCAAGGTTAAAGTTTTTTCAACAGTAGGTCAAACTCCAAGTTCAAGGTCAAAGGGTCAAAGATGTTGGTATCCAAATGAAGGCCTTCTCACAAGAAATACACTTATTAAGTTTGAAAGCCCAAACTTAAAGTGTTCAAAAGTTATTGCCAATTTTAAAGTCCCAAAAAAAATTGCAAAAGTGGGTCAAACTCCAAGGTCAAAAGGTCAAATATGATGGTACGCAAAGAAAGGTCTTGTCACAAGAAATACACATGTGAAATATGAAAGCCATAGCTCTAACCAATCAAAAGTTATGTGCAAAGTTAAAGTTTTTGCGGACAAACAGACTGACAGACAGCTAGACAGACGGACAGACAGATGGGGGCATAACAACATTTTAAACTAAAAATGAACATTTGCGTTTTGTCAGCAAACCTGTGAATGTCCGAATCTGAACGCAGCTGCTGCAAACACATTTTTTACCGATGGATCTGTTTCCTGGTCGTACCGCGTCTCATAAGCTGATTTCCTTAGATAAAGGTTACGCCTAAAAGTTAAAAAAACCCAATATCAATCATACTTTGTAAGCATATTTTGATTATTCAAAATTTGTAGCTTTGGTGTTGACTCACGGTTTCGAATCAAATGAATTCTTAGGAGAGTTCTTTAAATTTTTCTGAATCATAAATTTTTTAGTGCATTTAAGTTCTTGATTGAATATTACAGATCATTTATGTAAACCTAGAATCAAAATTGTCTTCATTATAACATTTGGTACCTTGCCATGGTCTTCGGTGACAGTATTTTGGGTAAGTACTCCCCATAAGTGATGTGCTGCATCATGGCGCCTATGATTTTCCTAGTTTCTTGAAAGATTTTATAGGAAGACCATGATGTAGTTTTTGCTAGGTGTTGGGCAATCTTGTTGTGTTGTCTCACCCATATAACATGCATCCCTCCCAGGGAAGGGTTCTCACTCACTCTTTCATCCCCTGAAATTTAATAATATCTTTCGCAATAACCTAATATATGGATTGAGTCTGACACCAAGAGTAACAAGAGGCCCATGGGCGAAATCGCTCATCTGAGCGTTTTGGCATGGAAAAAGCAGAAATCAGTTCAGAATTGAAAAATTTAAATATCAAAATGTGGCCCCACTCTACCCTAGGGGTCATGATTTTTAACAAACTTGAATCTACACAGCCTGATGATACTTCCGTATAAATAAGACCACTCATGGCTTTTCTGTTCTTGGGAAGTTCTTTAAAGTATTTTCTATGTGTTCCTACGTAAAATTTTGATCACCAATTGTGGCCCCACCTTACCCCCAGGGGTCATGATTTGAACAAACTTGAATCAATACTACCTGATGATGCTTCCATATAAATATGTCCAATCATGGCTTTGCTGCTCTTCAGAAGGATAAAGATTTTTCCTATGTATTCCTATGTAAAACTCATCACCCATTGTGGCCCGACCAATCATTGCTTTGCTGTTCTTGAGAGGAAATTTTTTAAAGATTTTTTTTATGTATTCCTATGTAAAACTTTGATCACCCATTGTGGCACCACCATACCCCGGGGTCAGAATTTGAACAAATTTGAATGTACACTACTTCAGGTTGATTCCACAAAAGTTTCATATTTTCTAGCACAGTGATTCTTGAGAAGAAGAAGATTTTTAAATGATGCCATTAATTTTCACACGAATTTGTAATTATCTCCTCTTGGAAGAAGGCGTGGCCTACATTTGAACAAACGTGGATGCCCTTTACCCAAGAATACTTTGTGGCAAGTTTTGTTGAAATTGGACCAGTGCTTCATCAGAAGAAAATGTGAAAAGTTTACAACGCCGACGACAACGACGACAGACAACGGAGGAATTTCAATCAGAAAAGCTCACTTGAGCTTTTGGCTCAGGTGAGCTAAAAACCTTACTTAAATGCAATGAATTCTACGATGAATATTTTTAATAACTGGAGCAATAAGGATAACATTTGTAATATGTAACTGTTACACTTTAGTTAAAAATCAAATTAATAGAATTTTTAAAAATTAATTCAAACATTTAATTTTTCAATGAGTCTCCTAGTGTTGATTAATTGAACGTATACTTTAAACTTGTAAATATGAAAATGATGTAAGCACAATGTGACGTCATGTCCTGACCTGCCCTGGGACAATGGTCTCTGTCATTGCTGAGGATCTTACACACACCTCCAGGAGGCAGTAAATTATACTTTGTTGTGTTTAAACACCCTAAAGAATAAAAACTGAGAGTTACACTGAGAGTTATCGGAACTGATATTAAGCTGACTAATGCAATACAAAACAAGTGAAATTGTTGCAAATCATCAAATCTGCCACAAAAATTTTAAGCATTTCTTAAAAAGCATTTCCATATAAAGAGTCCAAAAAAAAAAAAAAAATTAAACTAGAAAAAGTATTTAATATCTTTTTTTGCCAAACTGTACTCCTAAATGGCATTTCTATGCATTTTAAAACCTTATGAATACTTTTTCAGTGAATTGTGAACTATTTATCAAAGTTAAGTCAAAACATGGATATGAGATCAGGGATAACAGGAAGGATTATACTATCATCAAATTACTTGTTACAAGATGAAGAAAACAAGTTCAACATATATCTGACTTAAAAAATCATCAATGTTTCAATGATTTCTGCCCCCCCCCCCCCAAAAAAAAAAAAAAAAAAGACTACACATTTTTCACGTGCTGATACCACTGTTCTTTGTCACATGATGATGTCAATGTTTTCCTTGTGATAGGCAAGTATCACAATAAATGCCAAGCGCAGAAAAAAAAAAAATTATCACTTCCAACTGTAGTGTATTTAAAACAAATAATACTTTAATAATTTTTCAATTTTAGCACTGTGATTAATATTCGGAAACTCATTTATTTACTTTTTTATATCTTACACGCTCTCATGTTGGGGAGCTGTTCGTGTAACATTTTTTAAAAATAAAATCATAAATTAATAAATATATCTGAAGAGAAATGAAAAACAAATTGAAACTTACATACAACAATTTAGACTTAGTATTAAGAAAATTTCCAAAACATTTATTCAAGATATTTATGTTATCAATAAGGAATTATAACATCATACCAATAAAAAATAACATCTCATTTCTCCATGATAACACAACCAGATAAAATAGATCTGATATTGTATAACTTTTTTTAAATTTGTAAAAAGTGTACAAAACATATAAAAAGTTGAAAATCTATCTTTGAATGGGATTTTTGGGAAAGCTTCTAACTATCATAAGTTAGTTGTTTGGAGACATATTTAAAAAAATGATCAATTCAAACCATTTGGAGCGTTGAGTAAAGCATGCGATGATAGACTGTTGCCGTAAACGTTGCCGGCATCAATGAATGACGTCAGACGATTAGCCTGCTCTCGATAACCTAAAATAGTTCAAGTGAATGGAAAAATCAAAGAAATGAAATAAAATGGACCACCCTCATATATTGATATTCTTTTACAGTCTTGATAACATAAATTTTAAAATATTTCATTCTACTGAAGTTGTCAATAAAAGTTCAAGATGAACCAATCTTTATTATTACCATGATCACATTAACAGTATATATATATCATTACAATGATCACATTAACAGTATATTTATTATTACCATGATCACATTAACAGTATATTTATTATTACCATGATCACATTAACAGTTTATTTATTATTACCATGATCAAATTAACAATATATTTATTATTACCATGATCACATTAACAGTTTATTTATTATTATCATGATCAAATTAACAATATATTTATTATTACCATGATCACATTAACAGTATATTTATTATTACCATGATCACATTAACAGTATATTTATTATTACCATGATCACATTAACAGTTTATTTATTATTATCATGATCAAATTAACAATATATTTATTATTACCATGATCACATTAACAGTATATTTATTATTACCATGATCACATTAACAGTATATTTATTATTACCATGATCACATTAACGGTATATTTATTATTACCATGATCAAATTAACAATATATTTATTATTACCATGATCACATTAACAGTTTATTTATTATTACCATGATCACATTAACAGTCTATTTATTATTAACTAGATCAAATTAACAATATATTTATTATTACCATGATCACATTAACAGTTTATTTATTATTACCATGATCACATTAACAGTTTATTTATTATTACCAATGATCGCATTAACAGTTTATTTACTATTACCATGATCACATTAACAGTCTATTTATTATCACCATAGTAACATTAACAGTCTATTTATTATTACCATCACATTAAAAATCTATTAATTATTACCATGATCACATCAACAGTATATAAATTATTACCATGATCACATCAACAGTTTATTTATTTGCAAATTTAGAAAAGATGATTTTTTAATCTATTTCTCATAATTACTGTATATTTAATATCGTCTTGTTCATCTCCTCGTATACTGAAAACATATACTTTTTTGCAGAAGACAGATACACATGAAAAAACAGTTAAATGATAAGATGAAGATATTGACCAACAGTAATTATGAAAGCATATCGATTGATCCTGACCATTAATGTGTCTGTGCTTCTTTCTAAGAGGAAACTCATTTGTAGTGTAAATACAAGGGTTGATCCAAAAGTTATTTCACAACTGCTATAAAATCTTTAATAATAAAACGATATTAATAAAACTATTCATGCTTATACGTATATCTATTTTTACTTTTGTCCTAAAAATTCATCTAGATATATACAATGCTTAATGTTATATTAAAATAAACAAAACGTTGGGTCTCATCTATCGCCGCACGGCAAAAATGTTACGTCGTTATGGCGTTACTTTTCGGCACTTTAAATAATGTCTTTACTGTTATCTTGCTGTAAACCGTCTTCTTTTGAGTAAAAGTATTAAAATTATTTGAATTGTGTCCAAATGTTATTCCTAAATTCATTCCTTTTTGCATAAATCTTATGTACCATCAGATTCAAAGTTAGTGTCCAAATGAAACGTTATAACGACGTCAACACATTCTTGCCGTGCGGCAATAGACGAGCCCCAACGTTGATTTATTTTAATATTTTATGAAGAAGTGCATACATCTGAATGAAATTACAGGATAAAAGTCAAAATAGATAGAAATATTAGTATATAAAGTTTAGTTGAAAACTTTCCTTAATTAAAGATTTTATAGAAGTTATGAGATTACTTAAGGATCAACCCTAGTAATACGTTTTGTTGCGTTCAGAGGGAATGCTATTTTTTTTCCATTCTGTTTCTTTAACAGAATCAAATGTTCTTTTTTTTGTACATCTATTGTATGAATTTGGATGTGAAAATGCTGTTCTCTGATAAATTGCCAGAAATAATTTACTTGTTTTGTAATAAAGGAAATTTCATTTAATTGATTTTAAGTTTAAGTTAGGGAAATTTCAAAAGCTGTCATCTCTTCATCAATGTAATAACCAAATTCAACCTAGTACCTTCAGGCAAATTCTAACATATGTTGTAATTGATAAGGTCAATTTAAAAGAAAAATAGAAAAAAAAGTGGTCATGGCAACAACTTTATTTCTCGATCACTGTGGGCAAAATTGCTCTCATTGAAACATTAAAAATGTGAATGACCGTTTTCGAAAAATACTAATTAGGAAAGGAAAAACAATATAATTCGTTTATGGTGTAATCATCCCATTTATATGATGATTGGATTCATGTTATGACTTCACTGTAAAATCTTCTGATTTCTTTAAAAGATTAATAAATGATGAGGTTAGACTACGTCTTGGAAAATAAATGTTTATTGCTCTAGTTGTTTACGATGCTTTTTTTTTACCTGGTGCACAACCATCAAAGGACTCTGCCGGCATTGACCTTGAGAAGGACATACAACGTTGACGCCCTCTGAAATGTGCGTCGTTGGCTGGTATTGAAATTTGAACACAATCGATACTAAAATGTAATACAGAGTATTTATAGTTCCATTTAAATAAGCAGCCGGGGCATTGCATAAATAGGAAAAATATGCATTTGAAATATCCCCCCCCCTTTTTAGAATTAAGATATTTAAATCTTTAGCGATATACAAAGAAAACAAAACATCTGAATTTCAAATATATTTCACCTAGCTAAGGCTTACAAGTACTTGAGTATAAAACAACACTTATATAATGAAGGAAAGAATTTAAGTTATATCAACAGCCAAGATAAAGGCAAAATTTAGAATAGAAATCAGAATTTTTTTTAATTAACATTACATTTCATACAATTCTACACGTATTTTATTATTGTTTGCCTTTGATATTCTTTTGCAATTTATCTGAAAGTTCAACTTCCTATAAAGTATAATTGAGAGCGGAAATGCATGTACTATTTGTCATTAAATGACTTATAATCATAATTTCACAATCATATAATGATTTCGCAATAGTTTCATTGGTTAAAATGTTGTGCTAGACACGGGAGATAATTCCTGGTGATGTAATTTTCGTACGACTTAACAATCTTTCAAGATTTTCATTCTTAAATAAAATCTACAAAACGAACAAAAGCATGAAACTAATACTTAATTATTAAGATATCTGAATTTGGGCAAATAAAACTCTTTTACAATTCTTGAATATGCATACATTTCGGTAAAATAGTGAAATATTTCTAAAATTTCATGTGAAAATTTGAAAAACAAGACGCCTTACAACGGCATATTTTCCATTTAACGGTAATGCGCCGGCTGAAAGTTACATCTCCCTATAAGTTTTCCAAAAATGAAAGACGTTTCTTTAAAACTGTTGAATGCTATGAAAAGAATTCAATATTCGCAATATCCACGTAATGAACACATCAAAAATCAAGAAACACTATAAAATGTACAAAAATTCCACCACTTGTATACGTGTATACATGTACTTAACGTAGGTCGCGGGTTTGCTGACGTCGTTAAAACTGGGTACGCAATTTATATAATTTGGGCGACTTTCTTGTGCACATCTGATTATGACGTCACAATGAAAAAGAAATCTGCGATGATTTTTGTTTTATTAAATTCTTCAGTATATCATAATTTAGCTATACCTTTTCTTGGAATTGGTAGTTTAGTGTTACATTATTTAAGCAACGACTTATCACAAATAATGAAGGCTTTTAACGATTTGTATAGTCGATACAATACTTAGATATAACTTTTGTTGGAATTGGTAATTTAGTGAAGAAGGCTTATTACGATTTGAATGATCGACACTGGAAGTATTAAAAAACGTTTAATTATTTGTTATCAATCGCATCTTCTCGGGCCTTTCCTGCAAGCTTGGAAAAACAAGTGGTTGTTTTTCGGCTTGTCGGAAAGGCCCGAGAAATTGCGATTGATTTGTTTTCACTTGGTACGGATATGGACACAAGGTTCAACTGCCCCTTTTTTTCCCTTGATCGTATTTGAATTAACAGGTTTTTTTTTTTAAAATAAAGAATGCATTATTTAAAAAAAATGCAAATACATCTGTTACATCAAGAGATTAAACTTTATTTTTAAAAAGGACATATTTAAATTATATATATAGATCTACAGATTTATCACAAATTAAATACTGCTAAGGTACGATGAAACATATAGACAATTTTTAGCGACACTGACCTCCTGTTAGGGGACAACTATTTGACTCTGAGGGAGAGGGGGTGGCAAATTTTACCGAGACAGATTGTTTTTTTTCATGTCGGTAAAGGACAGATTATCTATTTCCAAAAAGAAAAAAAACAAGGACAGATTATTTATTTCTTCTTCACTGAAAAAAGTCTGACAAGCAAAAAGAAAAAAAGAAAGAAAGAAAGAAAAACATCAAAGTTCAAAACTCCCATTGGGGGGGGGGGGTTGCTATAATTTTTTTTCTTGCCCAGTCGAGGACAGATTATTTATTTTCAACATTTCCGATGACAGCTTATTTATTTCCATAATCTGCAAGCCCCCCCCCCCCCCACCCCCACCCCATCCTCGAATGAAATGTTCGTCCCCTAAGCAACAGCTTGCAATGCTGTTATAATTACCTACAGATTTTATTCACTCTGCTTTCCATGTCAAACTAGTAGAATTAAAGTTCTAAAATAATAATAATAATAATAATAATAAAAACTGGCTGTTGATTACGTCAGATAAAATTAATTTTAAATTCTTGTCCCGTTTACCCCTCTGAAAATGTGGTATGTAAAATAAATATTTTGTTTAAATATATACTGAAAATATATTGTACTTAGCCGGACGATATTTGGCAGAAATTCGTAGATTTGAAAGCCTTGCTGGTCTAAATAAAAACATTTTATATAGTTACTTGAATGATACCGTTTTCTTCCAGCACGCTGGAAAAGAAAAATACACAGACAAATGTAAGGATACGTCTAATCTTCTGTTGTTTTACGTCCCTTGCGAGAATTCACTAATATAAGACGTACAAAAAACCTAATCTGAAGAGAAACATGTCTAATAATCATTCCATTAATATTGAATTATTATGATACGCTTCACGGGTCACTTGAAAGCAGACAGACGTGAATTTCTTTTTTATAAAAATTATTTTATCTTATTTTTCTGCACTGAATACCGGATAGATATTCACGACGTCAAGCATGACGTTGCGATATTTTATGACGTCGTTCTTAAAAATGTTACATTTTGCGATATAAAAGCAATTATCCACATTAAATAACGCGAAAACTAACCCGAAGACATATTAATTTTATCACATTAATTTATTTCAAATCAATTCTTTGTTAAAATACCAAAGGGGAAACAATTTCGTCTGCACCATTTAAAAGTAATTGATATATTTTTAAACAAAATCTTGCGTCAAAAAGAGCCGAAAACGACGTTTTTCTTATATAATTCAATAGAATACCGTCAAAAATGTTACGACAACAATGGCATGTTTAAGATTTAATTACACAAAAACGGTGCAGACGAATTTTATAAAATTTTCAGAGAATGTAAAACGAAGGTATAGAATTCATATAACTGATTTTCACGGTATGTTTTCGGACACTTTTAAATGGCCTGCAAACCCGCGACCTACGTTAAAACCTTACTAGTCTGCATCTTTCCCACAGCATTCAAGTTCATCACCGTCCACATCTTAAACAAAAATTTCAATCTGTTTTTAAGTAATCTACAATTTCAAAAAATTAGGAAAAATAAATTTCTGAATAGAATTTTTTAATGCAGTTTTTATTTATTAAAACGGTATTATTTACTTACTTGTTGCAACGGGGGTAAGTACAATGTCATGGTCAAGAAACTGACCCCATGTAAAGGTCATCAGAGAAAGATTATTATCTTTGGGTGTGCTCTCTTTGATACCTAAACCTCGGAACACCTCGTTACTTATTATTCGAGGACTCAATAATAACTTTCCAGTTCCTGACCTTTCTCGGGGTCTCGTTATGTCTACAAAATTAAGAAGGTGTTATAAACATTTTGTTATATTATATTTCTGATTTTTAATCAATATACAGAAGATCTACTGATACATAGAATCATCTGCAGCAACACTCATCCAAATCACAAAAGAAATCAACAATGCATCAAGTTATATAAGCCTAATAATTCAAAATACACAAAATTAAAACTCTGTAAGACAGAAATGAAGCATCGTCAGAGGAACCTGATGGTTTTACGACTTTACATTTTGTTTTTTCTTCCATCAGATGTGCTGTATTAATAAAAAAAATTGAAAAAGGTACACAATTTATGCGTCTCTTTTATTTTATCTTTAAAAACATAATGAACAGTAAAAATTCAATTTCAAAAATAACAATTGATTTTTGGGGTATTAAGTATCTAACTAATTTATTATTCTCTATTAGAAATATATAATAAGAGTGATATTTTGAAGAATTCATTTAAATGTTACCATCGTCATATTGGGGAGGAAGATATCGTGATTGTATGGCTCCCTTTGATCCAAGCGTAGGGTATCGTATATTATTACATCTGCCGTCTGCTGAGCGATATGGTGAATTCACATACATTTCACATCGGAGGGATGTACGACGACAAAACTGTTTTGCAAAGGATTCACGATATGCCTTTGATCTAATCAGCTGATGAATACTTTTACCAGATCTGTAATTGATATAAACAATAGTTGATAGGTAATTAAAAGTACTCATACATGTATGTATTTTATGTGCACCACAATACAAAATAGATATTTATTTGAAAGACAGTACAAACTCACAGCGTTTTGTTACAGAGATTATGACTTAAGTAATTTCTTTAAATCCTCAGAGTAAAACTTAACATTAAATAATATGAGTAAAATGACCTACAGCCTTACAAGCTCTTTGTTGACTTCTATGTATAGCCTTCCCGCATTTGACGTATTTTCTTCGAACTCTTTCTGTTTCCTAATGAAGTCAAATAATTTACTTTCATCTCTTGGCAGATCTAGATAGCAAAATATAAAGTCAACAAAAAGTATGATACCATCATCAGCATTATACCGATATGACAATGAACTTTATAATTTTGGGTAACTCTCGAAAATATATATAATGAAGAGTTTGGAAAATAGTAAGCTCATGTTGATTTTTATATGTCTTTTGTTCTGATAATGACAATTGAAAAGAACAGAAAAACAGGGAAAAATTCCATATATCTAGAATCTTACCCTGATCGTCTGTATTCGAACACGTTCTTTCAAATTTCATGTTTCTATAGCCATTATCGATAGCTTTAGATACAATGTCATCCACAGAAAGATCATTTGAACGAAGTAAGACTATCTGCAGAAGGAGAATACAAAATTCCAAAGCTGAGTCGATCCAAACCATTATCAGAATTGTGTCTCTTGTTTAGACATAGATGCATTCCAATAGAAACGTACCGGTTCCAATCCTAAAATAATCATAATAATAAATTGAAGAATCAGAAACAAGCAAACAGGAGACCCATGAAACTGATATTGTTTTAAAGAACTTAAAGGAAAATTTTTAACTGTCTTGAATAAAAATACACAAATTATAGTTTTTGTTGATAAGAAAATAAAGCTTTCCTAGGTAAATCTTTGAACGCATTTTTAGCCTCACCTGACTCAAAACCGTTGATATTAACATAGTTTGACTTTTTCGACTACATGAACAGCTCTGCAAAGTAGTCTGTTGAAAAAACTTCCCTGTATAGGCTAATAGCCTTTGTTTAGTGCAATTGTGTGAACTAACATGTTTGACAAATTCCAGATACAATTTTGTGTTGCTGGAGCTTAAAAAATGCATTCAATGAGTTTCTATTAAACACCCTTGCATAAATCCTGGACTGGTTTTGTTCTTCAAGAAAATACCTTGAAAAACATTGGATCCAAACTATATGTAAGTACTTAAACATTTATTTGAATAATTGAAACTTAAATGTATGTAACTGAAATTATAAGATATGGAAGGTTTGCTTTTCTTGTGAAAAAAATAATTGTCATGTTTATTCCTGTGTTAAAGAATACTGGACTTCATTGAAGCCCAGTCCTTTCTGAAAAGGGCCAGGGATGAATTAAACAAAGTATACATGAGAATGTAAGCTTATTAATTAGGTTACTTGTAGTCTTTCTGTTTTAAGGTCAGACGGCACGTTACTCAAAAATATATAATTTTCTCAAGAATTTGTCATTGAAGTATTGTACTTCAAGTACTTACACAAGTTTCCTCACAAAAAATTGAGGTACCTTACCGGGCATTTGTGCAAGATTATAGATGATGGAATTTTCAATATCATCCTATTGGAAATCTCTTGAATTGTCAATATTACAATTTTTGGTGTACCGTTTTTTCCAGACATTCTGCAAACAGTTTAAAAATCACACGATAATGATAATTATGAATATTTTTCAATATATTATGAAGAGATATAAAACAGATATTCGAGGAACGTGTCATCTGACCTAAGGAAGTTGATTTCTAATTTACTTTTCTAAAATATTCAAATGTAAACTTTGAACCCTTATCGTTTTCTTAATCTGGGAACATGTTCATGAAGCTATATATATCTTAAGACTAAGATATGTCTCAGACATATGTGAGACACATCTTAGTCATAAGATAGTTTCTTGAAGCTGTCTTAACTTATGATTCATCTTAAAAATTGTCCAAACTTTAAGACATCATATGAGCTGTCTTATCTTAACTTCAGAGGGAGAAAGATGCGACATACACATCGCAAACGAATATTTTTGGCTACAGATCCCAAAGAATAATAAGAGAACGCTGATATCATCTGTAATATCACATTTGCCTAAGAACAGCTCCCCCTTCTACATGAACCCACGGGCCCATTAAAATGAGCTATATTTTTATGAACTTAAACAAACAGAAAAAAATCTACTCCCTCTACATTTAATTAAGTTTTTTACAGGTATGTATAGAATGATTTTTGAATTTTTTTAAGAATCGATGCCCATATTATGCAATGATTCCACAACATTGCAGTTTTTCCTGATGTTTTTCGTACAGTTAATGGTAATATCACTAGAATAAAATCACCATTTAGTGATGAACATTGCTTACATATAAAAAGTAAATGTAGGGGTTTGCCATAGCAATATGTGATTTATTAAAAAGGTAAGTAGTTCATTTTTCCTTGTTTTCTTCGACATTACGTTTGTACACTGTGGAGTTACACAAGAGCACTTTGAACGAATTGATTGAACAATACTTTTTTTGTTGTTGTTTGTCACAAAAGAGAGTTTGAAAAAAAATACTTCTTGTATATTTCAATTTCCTTTAGGAGCGTTTGAAGTTGATCTGCGTCAGAGAAGTTAGGGTTTCCAAGCAGTTGTTGCCATGGTTCACTTTAATTGATAAAGAAATATATAGCCTTTTGAGTGCACTGTGGCGATTAATTTCTATTATCCATATCATTGGCGAATCAAAAGTTTGAATCCCTTTAACATGTAATTAATCACTAGTACAGTGCCAGAAACAAATTTTGTAACAGCTCGATGCTGACTTTTGGAAATCCTTTGCTTGCTGATTTAATGCTAGTTATCTTTATCCTGATGCTACTTTGGTGTTTCGAAACTATGTAAATGCTACCGGAAGTAGCATGATGCTAACGGAAGTAGATAACTGAATTCCAGCATTAGAGTTTAACGCATTAAAAATCCTTTGTATAATAATTTTATCATTATATTTTATTATTTAATATTTTGAATCCTCAAATTAAATTTCTTCATCTGTTTTCACTTTTTTAATCCGAAAAATGAAGATTTTCCGATGCTAGTGGGTCGATGTTGATCTTTAAGTAGGTTATTACTAGTTATTCTTGTTTTATCCCTTACTGAATGTTACTGATCCCAGAAATGCTCTTTTGAGAATACTGATTCCGATGCCAGCTGGATTCCGATGCTTATTTTGCTCAAGCTGATGATTGTTTTATGCATTAATATTAGTTCCCTGCACTTTACATATGGCGACAGGGAATGCTTACTCCTACTTAGGCAGCCGATCCCACCTCTGGAATTTGGGTTTGTATGTTATGCCCTGTTCACATATTCATTTTGTTTGTAGTCTTTCTTTAGTTCGATCACCGTTCCTCACCCTCTTTCATTTAACGTAATTGTATGATGTTTAAATGCAAGTTTTTAATTATATAATAATTTTACCGACAAAATCTAGAGAATTATTCATATATACTAAAGCTATGAACATTATAATGACTTAAAATAAAGATGAATTCCATAAATACTCTATAAATTATTCAATGGAAAGCATTAATTAAGAAATCCATAAATCTTACCTACATAAAGTTATCAAATATGTTATTCATTGAAACTTCATGAGTAAAAAGATTGCAGCAAAAGTATTGAAGAACACCTGTTACAAAGAGTGCGGAAATCAAAGGCTATTTATCAGGGTCAATAGCAAATAATCCTCATACGTACAAAATGTTACAAGTCACTTTGAATTATTATAGATGTATGGCTACATGAAAATACACCTTTTCATGCAGTAGTCTTATTTGTTAAGCTTGACATATTTTACGTACATTGATTTCTCGTTCTTAAAAGAGTGAAACTAATGCAATTTACAAAGATTGTATCGTAAAACTTCGTTTATAACAAAGTCTTGGGGACCTGTGGATTTACTCTGATATATCCAATATCTGTTATCTCCTTATAATGAATTTTTAAAAGTATATAATACAGATCGCAATATACCTTCCGTATAATGACTACTGGATATGCTCAATAATGTATTAAATTTATAATATTTTTTAATTAATTTTCAAGACCAGAACCCTAATTAAGCATCAGAGATAACAGGTAAAATACTTTTTAGCCTGATATGCATGCTTTTATGAACTAATTAAATACACTTTTTGGAAATAAATGTATTGTTTCCAAACAAAGGTGCAACAAAAGATATGAATTTCGATATCTTAAAGCAAGTTTTATATTTTATGATTTGTGATTTACTTTATTGAACGAAGTTTTTCACCTTTTTGCATGAATAACAGCCTTAATGCAATTAGATTTGAAAGGAACTAGGTTTTCACAGAAACTTTTTTCTGTGGAACTGAGCACCGTTTTTGCTAATGCTTTCTATATATCTTTGACCCCAAATGTTTTATTTGGGTTTGGTTTAAGACTGTTGCAGGACAACGGAAGTTGTTCTTGGTCTGTCTGAAAAACTCTCTTGTGCTTATTGAGATATTTCAGGATGCTAAATAATACAAATATAAATCGTTTTCTTTTCTAGGGAAAACATAAGCACACATGGTGCTGACATCTTTCAGTATCTACTGATGAGCACAAAAGAGCTTTCAAAACGCAATCCAACACGCCCCGAAAAATAATCTCAAACTGAAACACCTAAGGTGAAATTTACTGTTGAATAAGAGGATTCTGGTGAAACGAAACGTGGAAGACATTTCAGCTAGAATGGTGCTCAATTCCAAAAACTTTCTGTGATATTTTAATTCATATAGTTGTACAATGAAACAGCAAAAAAGACTGATGAAATGCTTGGAAAAATTAGTTATTTTCTTTAAGGACATCAAAAACTGGAGTCAAAATCCAATTTACAATTTACTAGAGTAACATACATTTAGAATGTATGTAAAGTTTTCTAGAATTAATGATTGATGTAAAAACTTTCTGAGCTACATGTACATCTGGTTTCTTCCAAAGTGTTTTAGAAACCTGTTTTGCCATACAAATTCTTTGTTTTTTCATTTCTCTGTTGCAAGCTCATGGTAAGCATCATGGATCCTAATTTACCAAAACAGTTAAAAGAAAATGAAAGGACTCTATTAATTGCAAAAAAATTGCTTCTGTCACGTCTAGGGTATTTTCCAGTATTTTTTTTTTTTTATATTTTAACGATTTCACATTTATATATAGAATCAAAATGGTAAAAATATTGTTCTTTTCGAATTCTTTCCAAATACACATTAAAGCTGTCAGTGGTAGAATTTTCATTTTAGTAATACAATTAATCTTCTCAATGATATAACAAGGAAATAAGGTTAATTGTAATTAATGGCTAATATCTTTAAGTTAATTATAATTGCATCTCAATGACAAGCATGGTATATGAGAAATGATATGGAAGTACAGACTTTTACATTTCATGAGCATAATTTCAATAACTTTTTCAAATTTTAACTATAATAAAAATTAATTTAAACATTTTAAACATTGTATTCTGAAGGACACACTAGATAAGGCAAAACTTATTTTGTCATTCTCTTGTTCCGTCTGTCAGCACTGGGGAATCATTGCATTTGGAATCATTTGGTCAAAGCCAGCCAGTTCGGTTGTGGAGGTGCAATATTTGTTTGTTTAAGTCCCTGCAAATTTTGACCTATACTCGGCAGTAAGGGTCATTGAGCAGTGAGGGATCTTTTTCCTGCCAGCACCTACTGCGACACCGAACCTCGGTTAATACGCTCTCCTCTGAAATACCTGTCCCCACGTCCCATAGTGAGATTTGAACCCACGATGTAAGGATCAACTCCTTACTCCGTGACTCTGGAGCAAACCCTCCAACCACTGCAATACGCGGACGACGCGCAAAACTTGAAAACAATACAAATATTCAAAGAAGATGATTTATTACAAGTTTTAATCAAGCAAAAAATTTCAGGCAGTATACACATAGCAACGGAATTTGCACTTCGAATATGGACAAGTGTTTGCATTTTCTCCAATAATGCAAAAATAAACCAAAGAAAAATGGCACAGTAATATGTGAGTTTAAATCATAAAGTAACCTTATAAAGACTCAAACATTCTTTGATATATATTTTTAAAGGTAAAAAAAAAATCAATTAGCAATAAGAATTTAAAAAAAAATGCTCAAGACTATTAATATAAACAAGAGGCTCATGGGCCACAACGCTCACCTGAGTCAATATGGCCCTGCTGTTCTTTATCAGCAGATTTTTTCTAATATATATTCCCATGTAAAACTTTTATCCCTAATGTGACCATACCATACTGTTCTTGAGAAAACGATTTTAGAGAATATTTTCCTATACATGTATATTCATAAACTAGGATGGTGCATTGAACCACCATCCTACTCAAGGGGTCATGGTTTGAACAAATTTGAATATATACACTACCTAGGATTTTTCCATTTCAATATGACTAAGTATGGCTTTGTTGTTCTTGTAAGGAAGATTTTTGAAGATTTTCCCCTATATATTTCTATGTTAAATTTTGATTCCCCATTGTGGTCCCATCCACCCCCAGATGTCATGATTTGAACAAACTTGAGTCTACACTACCTAAGCATGCTTCAATACCAATATGACTAATCATAGCTTTATTTTCTTGAGAAGATTTTTGAAGATTTTTTTCCTACATATTCCTATGTATAACTTTGATCCGCCATGGTGGCCCCAACCTAGTCCCGAAGGTCATGATTCGAACAAACTTGAATCTACACTACTTGAGGATGTTTCCATATCAATATAACTTAAAATGGCTCAGCTGTTCCTGAGAGGAAGTTTTTTGAAGATTTTTCCCCATGTTTTCTTACGTAAAACTTCGACCCCACCTTATTCCCGGGGTCAGGATTTAAACAAACTAAATCTACACTAAGTAAAGAAGGTTATACGTAAGTTTCAACTTTTTTGGCCCAGTGGTTCTTGAGAAGAAGATTTTGAAAAGATACCACCAAATTTTCAGTAATTCGTAATTATCTCCCCTTGAAAAAGGGTGTGGCCCTTTATTTGAACAAACTTGAATCCCCTTAACTCAAGGATTGTTTGTGGCAAGATTGGTTAATTTGGCCGAGTGGTTCTGGAGAAGAAGTCGAAAATGTGAAATAATAAAAATCACCATCGATATCAAATGATTCAAAATAGTTTGAAAATAATTATAGAATATTGATGAAAGAGCATATAAAAATAGTGTTTGAATTTATCTTAATCATCACTAGATTTCATTAAGAATATACCAATACAAAGTCTCTTTATTCTGGTGCATCATGTTCAGGAACTTTTTGTGTGCTACTGGAAAGACGTATTTCAGGCCACACTAAAAATATAACATAATTTTCACTTGATATAACATCTTTTAACTTTGCATCAGAACATTGATTAAGGAAGTATAATATTTTGATTTCTTAGCTGTTTGAAATACAAAATGAAAACAGGGAAGAACAGAAATGAAAAGTAATTATTTGTAGAAAGACAGCCATTTTTTTTAGTTAAGAAAAATTCTAGAATGACACATTATATTTAACTTTCCCCTCTTAATCTGATATTTCCAATGAGTGTTTATGTGTAAATGAAAGAATATTTACAATATTCATGAACTTAAAATCAAGCTAAAAATTCCTACGCAACCTTTTACTCATAAATCTAAACTTACATGGAATAGGTCCAATTTTCCCCGACGGAAGGACTGCTAAGTTACAGTTAGCCTCTGGTTCTGAAACTCCATTCTCAGAAGAATCTGTAATAAATGTTCTATTTTCTGTGTAAGCCAGTGTGAATTATTGTTTAGTAAACTCGTCTTGCTCTTTAGAAACTAAGACATAAGCTGAAACAGTAGTGTTTGCCTATAAATGTACCGTTCTTCATGTTTGGGTTGCTAGGGAAGAACGTGGTTCTCAAACATGTTAGCACAACCCTCTGATGATGTCACATTAAGCTACGTCCTATAAGGTTCGTGCAATTAAGTATAATGTAAAGATTGTTTTAAAGACTTTTAGTAGAACAAAGGGAAAAAGATTACATGACACTATGTTGGTAAAATATTTTTGCTTAATTTTTGTTTAAAATGTCAAATATACGAAATTTTCTTCGTTTGAATACGTTACAATCCTGGATATCAAGTAACGGTTTCTTTGGTGTAATCGAAGATATCCATAATTATTAAAATATTTCTGAAAAAGTTGCAATCCCTACCCCTAAACCTCATAATTTCCGGCTATTTATGTCAAGATGTATTGAGTATTATGATGGACAAGTGCTCCAGTGTCATCCTTATCCCCTTATTTTAGCTCACTTGAGCCAAAGGCTTCATTTAGCCTTTCTGGTGAAAATTTGTTTGTTGTCTGTCGTTGTTTTTGTCATACGTTTTTTTTTCACGATTTCATCCTATTTTCAAGAACCACTGGCGAATTAATCATTTTTTTTTTTTACGAAGTATCCTTGAGTGAAGGGGATGTAAGTGAAATGAAGGGTAACGCCCTCTTTCAAGAGGAGAGTAAAATGTAAAGGGAGTTCAAAGAACCATATTTGTGTAGAAAAATGTCGTATTTGGACCCCCAGAAAAATATGGGATACTGCAAAAAAATGTAAGACGAGTTCAAGAAACCAGGTTTTTGTAGGAAAGTCATTTTTAACCACATTTTGGCCCCATTGTTAAAATCAAAATTCCAGAACCTTCATGCACATCTACAGGACTCCATTAAATATGTTCCAAAATATGAATTGACTCCTGCATAAAATTTTAGAGGAGTTCAGGGAACCAGGTATTATTAGGAAAAAAGTCATTTTTATCCCCATTTTTAAGCCCCATTTTATTCCAGAATATGTATGTGCTACTGCACAAAATGTAAGAGGGGTGAGAGGAAGAATACGGACGGAAGGACCGGAATAAGGTACTTTCCTCAGAAAATGCGGGTATAATGATCGAAATTTGTAAAACATTTTAAAGTTTGATACAGACTTTAGTATTGCTAAAACAAATTAATCACGAACTTTTTCTTTCATTTTGAAAACTGAAACTCAGATAAAAACATCTTGAAAAATAAACTCTACTCTTGAAATGTCCTTATAAATTTTCAAGATATTGATGCACTTCATGTTTTATTATTGATTAACGATTTAGTATAATCATATTGTAGAAAATACATTGTAATCAAAGAAAAATTTCGATATTTCATTTGATGCTTCATGTATTTTTTATTTATTCTTTAAGAAAAATAGTGATTGATTTAAAGAAATAATAATAAGAATCAAACAAATTTCTATAACAATTATTTTTAGAATTCCAAATATTTTAATTTTAGTCAGATTTTTCTGCAAAAGGAACTGATTTTATCTAAGTACCAATCTTTGGACACATACACTAAAATTTTCGTGCTAGACGAATTATTGTATATACTAAGTGAGAACAATGAGATGAAGAAAAAAAAATCATTGTACCCGAAAAGCTTTCAAGATGGCCTCCTGCCGACACCAAATGCAGCCATCCTCGTATGCCTTGATCTGCCTTCACTTTCACAGTTTTGAATGTACCAGAATTGTTGTAACTTGTGATATAAATATTCAGGCCATATCTGTCTGCGGCAGCTTGGACCATATCAAGATCATACCAATAACCACTTTGCTTACCCTGACTGAATAAATAAAAGAAATCTTGAATGAATAATCTAGGATTATTTTTTCTGATCAAATGATAAACGAGTAAATAGAGATAAAACAAGAGGCTCAATGGCCACAACGCTCTCCTGCGTTCAATATGGCCCTGTTGTTCTCCATCAGCAGATTTTTTAAATTATATATTCCTTTGTAAACCTATGTGACCCCAGTTTACCTCAAGGTGTCATGATTTGAACAAACTTGAATTTAAACACAGGATTAACCTGCACCATTCAGTCATCTGAATGGTCACTGAAAGATCTGGAAAGGACTTTCTGTCACCTTACAGTCAACTTAATGGCAGAGTTCCATCCTGTAAAACTTTCTGAGGATACTTCCATTTTCATATGATTAATCGTGGCTTTGCTGTTCTTGAGAAGATCTTTAAAGATGTAATACCAACCTACCTCTAGGGGTAACGATTTGAACAACCTGAAAATACTTCCATATCAATTTATAATTTATCAGGGCTTTGCTGTTCTTGAAAAGATTTTAAAAGATATTTTTCTTATATATCAATATATTAAACTCTGATAGCCCATTGTGGCCCCAACCTATCCCCAAGTGGTCATGATTTGAACAAATGTCTCCACTACGTGAGGATCCGTCCACATCAATATGATTAATTATGGCTTTACTGTTCTTGAGATGAAGATTTTAAAAGGTTTTACCTATAAATTTCTGTGTAAAACTTTGATCCCCCACAGTGGCTCCATCCTATCCCCGCGGTCTTACTTTTACAAATTTAATCTGCACTACCTGAGGATGCTTCCATATCAATATGATTATTCCTGGCATTGCTTTTATTGTGAAGATTTCTAGATTTTTTCCTATATATTCCTATATTTAAACTTTGATCCCCAATTGTGGCCCTGTCCTATCAAGGGGGTCGTATTTTGAACAAATTTGACTCTACATGATATAATGAAGGTTTCACATACGTTTCAATTTTTATGACCCAATGGTTCTTGAAATTTATTTTTTTACTAATTCTTAATAATCTCCTCTTGAAAGAGGGTGTGGCCTTTTATTTGAATAAACTTGACACCTCTTCACCCAAGGATGCTTTGTGGCATGTTTGGTTTAAATTGGCCCAGTGGTTCTAAAGTGTAAGTCGAAAATGTAAAAAAGTTTACATAGGGAAGGCAGACAAAATGTGATCAGAAAAGCTCAATTGAGCTTTCAGCTCCGGAGAGCATAAAATGATATATGAGTAATAGAAGTAAAAGAATTGCTTAAGCATTTTTCATGTTGAATCATTACTTTAACTCAATATTATAAAAAACTCTAGGTAAAATGAAGAAAATACTTAATGTTCTTTTTCATCCAATATTACATGATAATTTTCGAGGAAATTTGACAAAAAGAATAATAGATACATTAAGAATAAAACAAGACTTTGAGTCATTTTTATGTATTGTTATGTTTCAAAAGGTATTGAATCTTTTGGGGTTAAAGTACATTTTGAACTGTTCAGCATATAAATACAGATATGTTTTCAATTTTTAATATATATAAGATACCCAAGGGCCTGAGTTTAATACAACCATATGATCAATGGAGCTCTGACCTGATTAGACCTGATGACCCAGGAGCCATGAATTTTACAATTTTTGAAAGAGACAACCTTGTTCATTACAGCTAAACACTAAGTTTTCATTTCATGATCACTTCATTGGTCAGTAGAGCCCTGCCCTAACACCAGAACCCCTGTGCACTAAGTTTCCTTCTAGTAAAAACAAACAAGAGAGAGAGAGAGAGAGAGAGAGAGAGAGAGAGAGAGAGAGAGAGAGAGGGTGATTTTTAATGCATTTTGCATATTCAATATATAATCAATAGAGCCTTAAATTTCTTCAATCAGAACCTCTGACCCAAGGGCCATGAATATCACAAATTTGAACGAGGCACCCTTGGTCATCGTTTCCTCTCAGTTTGTCTGCCTTATATACAAGGAGAGAGAAGAAGTATTCCAAAAATCACGGCATTTTGAATATTTGATCTATAGAGCCCACCCTAAGACTAGAACCCCTGACCCTGGGGCCATGAATCTTACAATTTTGAAAGAAGTTCTTTAACTCATTATAACCATGCACTTAATTTCTGTTAAGTACAGAGGGGGAGATATTTCCAAAGAAATATGCATTTTCACTAATCTATTTGGCCAATCCTAACACAGAACCCCTAACCCTAGGGCCCTGACTTTCACAATATTGATAGACGACTCATTGCTGATTATGATAATGCTAACATTTTGACTTTTTGATGTTCAGGAGGAAAGAGGAAGACTTTGAAGATTGCATTATATTTGATTGTTTTGTCCCTACTATCAGGCCAAAGGACCATGAATTTCACAATTTTGTTTCACTTTACATGTATATATAGTTACATGTCCTTTTTTCCAAAATAAGTTAGAATATTGGTTAAGCTGTTTAAATGAAAAGTGGAAAATGTTAAAAAGTTTACGAGTTTCGATGCAAGAAGACAGTTAAAACAGATATCAAAAGGTCATCTAAGTGACTAAGGTGACTAAAAAATAAGTTTACTTCGACATAGTTTTTCTGTTGAAGTGAAAAAATCTAATTTTGCATTTGTGCTTGAGTTCCTAAGATTTCTCTCAGTTTATTCAGCAAAAATGTCCAACATTGTAATACGTAGGGGTGTTTGCTTTAAAAATAAGTATTCTCTCAAAGAAAAAAAAAGCACAAATATTCCAGATAATATGCAAGTGTAATATTGTCTTTATTGATGAAACAAGTTGCACTCATATTCACTAAGAAAATAGTGTTGATTCATTTACATTATCATTTGTGAGGAACAGAGAAGAAATTCGGCTGAATGTTATGATCTATGAACCATTGGAGGAAAACTTTTAACAAACCTTTGGTATCTTTCATAAGTCACATTTTCCTCAGTATAAGTTAGTAGTCTGTACCAGTCTTCATGTTCAGACTTAAAATTGAGTACTTCCTGACGTACATAGCTATAATTGTCCTGGTTGTTATAAAGGAACTGAGATAAGCGTCTGAAGAAAATATTTCCATCTCCTACAAAATAGGATAAAACTTCTATTTGTTATCTCCCCTTCAAAATATTTATTAATATGCTTGGAAAACTTACTGAATGTATACAAATCCTTCGTGATAATCCTTACCTACTGATGTTTTTTTGAAGCACGTTAACAAAACAATTGGTGGAACAAAAGTTAACAAACAATATTTTATCTGTGTTGATTTACACGTATATCAAAACATTAAAATTAGGGCTGCAAAAGCGAAACAAACGCAGGTCTGTCAAGAGTACACAGTGCTCTCATATTTTCTCAGATTTTTTTTACGACTTAATAAATGAAAAATCAGAGAATGGTGCAGTTGTAAAAGGGTTTGAAGAACAGTTTCTACTCTGACCAAAATTAACCCTGCCACATATATTGAGGAGGTATTTCAATATCCTCACAAGTTCATGAAATTTAGCATGAAATATTGTAAAAAAAAAAATTGGCTTAAAATCTTCTCATTTGCTTAAACATTGTTGAAAAAAAATTAAAACCATTTGAAGGTTAGCAATAACAAAATGTATGAGTACTTAAAAGGTCATTTCACAACAAAGTACATTAATATTGAAATATAAATCAGAAGTACATTAAGCACACCTGATTTAAATTTCAATTGAAATTTAAGATATTACAATAAGCTTTATTACAATAAGGTATCACATGAATTAAGAAATAAAAGATATACCTTTTTGCATAATGAACGATTATACAAATATTTTTATGGTTAATTATTTTTTTTAAATGGCTGAAAATACGATAATAGGTATATAAGATTTGGTTAAGTCAATCTTTAATGAAGTCGAGTTTTATCTGCTTAAAAATAACCAAGTGCCGAAAAAAAAGTATAAAAATTGTATCAGAAAATGAACGATAGAATTAGGTATTATTTGAAATATGGAATGTTCTTAATCGCAATGCAATGTTGAGCACATGATCACAATATGTAATTTAACATATTTTCTTGATTGAATCGAAAGTAGAGCAAACTGAAGCGGAAAGAAATCAAAGCCGCAAATAAAACATTATTTGAAAACTAAGGTGCAATATCAATTCAAATGTCACTTTCATACAGTGGTATACCCTGTAAATACCGTACTTGCACTAGGTCAACCGAATCATCCATGAACGAAATGACTTTCTGTTACACTGTTATTATTGTTATTATAAACCTGGAAATTACCTACCACAAAGAGAGAGAGAGAGAGAGAGAGAGAGAGAGAGAGAGAGAGAGAGAGAGTTTCTTTACGAGACAGTACGCAAAACAGAATAATAATTTCTTAGGATAATCTTTTCACACACTGTACTTCATGATATTACTAGATTTTCATTTTCATCAATATGACTTACTGGTTTCTCCGTTATGGAGAAGATATTTCAAAAAGAAATTCTACATATTTGAGTTCTGTATAAATGATCCTCGATTTTTTGTCTCACCAATATCCCAGCATTTGAACAAACCTGGATCAACATGACGTGAAATCGTTTGCATAACCTTTCGAAGGCCGGAGATTTTAAAGAATGTTCATCAGAAAGGGGGGTGGGTGGGTGTCATAAGAAATATAAACCACAGTATAAACTAATACACTGCATCAAGAGAACATGTTTAATGTGCTACAAATAAATGTCGGGATCGATCCTGTAGTGTCTAATGGTCAAGGCGAAGGAGTTATCCGAACAAAAAGTATTCGCAGAAGACTTTCTTTAAGGTGCAACTCTTTCCTCAGCAGTGAAGGAGAAACTTCAGGTGTACTACACAACAGTATATTTGAGAAGTGGTGTAAATCAGATGTGGATACTTAGAAACTCCAAGAAACTTTTAGAAAATTTGAAATTTTAACCAAATCAATAACATCAAAACGTACGACTTTATACAACAATCCCCCATGATAAATTAAAGTTCAGGCTTTTCGACATCATAGACAGCTGCTTTTGCAATAAAACTGAAACTCGAAAATATTTCAATTTGTCATTAATAATTTACAAAATTATTTTGTTAAAAACATTCTGATTGCAAACACAGGTATAATTTTGATTTTTGGAGATCAGGTCTTCCAACAATCTGTTGGAATTCCCATGGGTACCAATTGCACGCTCTTATTAGCAGACCTACATTTGTATTCATATGAAACAGAATTTATTCAAAAACTTCTACATGAAAAGAAGAAACGCTCGCTGTGACCTTTAACTCGACATTAACATATATCTACGACGTATTATCAATTAACAATAGTTACTTCCGTTCATATTTAGACTTGATATATCCCAGTGAGCTTGAAATAAAAGATACCACAGAATCAGACAAATCTGTTTCATATTTGGATATTTTACTAGCAAAACACTTTAATGGTAACCTAACAACAAAGCCTCATGATAAACGTGATGACTTCGATGTTTCAAACGTCAACTTCCATTATGTAGCAATATACCCTTATTACCTTCATATGGGGGTTTTGTCTCCCAGTTGATTCGATGCGCAAGAGCATGTTCTACGTATGAACAATTTTTAAAACCAGTCAAGCTATTGACAATCACGGTGATGCAACAAGGATATCAACAGTTCCGTTTGAAGTCATTATTTTTCAAGTTTTATGGTCCATACAATGACCTTTTCAGCAAATACAACCTATCATTAAATCAAATGCTGACTGAATTTTTTCATACTAAATGTTAGGCTATTATTGTCTACGTTTTTCCCCCTTTTTTTTCGATCATGACAAGGAGCACACGGTGTGACCGGTCGGCAGAGGATGCTCACTCTTTCATGGCACCTGACCTGGCCTCCGATGTTTTTGGAGGTCCGTGTTTGCTCTGCTCCCGATTGGTATTGTTTAAATGGACTTAAAGATTGAGTACTGCTTGTTTTCTCCATATTTCATTTCAGTTTTTAAAAAGTCACTGAAGTTTCTTGGACACTTCACAGACAATTGTCTTTGATTTTCTTTAAGCATCCTTGTTGGATAGAAGATCTCTTATTTAGTCCCCGCTTGGTAGATGAAACCTTTTAACTATTTTAAAAGACGTGACGTCTGGTGCTCTCAGAAGTATTTATTCAACGAAATTAAGAATAGCGGGAAAATGCTCGACGTCTCCAAAGACAGGGAAATATGAAGTTTATGGTCGTGTCACGTGACTGTCTAGGACAAATCAGATTACGCATTGCATAGAATAATGATAATGAGGTGTAATAATATGGTATATATGTTGTGGCTCTCCTATTTTCTAGTAGTTTTAAAAGACTCTTTTTAATACATTGTTATATATTTAAATGTTAAATTATGACCCTCTCTGTTGTGGCTACATCTGAACCCCTGGATACCTAATTTGAACAAAATTGAATTGACTCTTTGGCAGGAAGATATCACATAAATGGGTTTTTTTTCTGGCCTAATGGTTCTTGAGAAAAAAGATTTTTACATGTATGAAAATGACCGACCTTATATTTCCTTTTCTTGATTTTCTCCTTTCATTTGAATTGTAATCCCTTAAAATATGGATATTCTGTGCTAAGTTTTGATGTATATTGTTTGAGTGGTTCCTCGAAAGAAGACAAATATGTGAAAAGTGGGATGTAAATTTTACTCGGACAGCTTAGTGGAATAGTCGGAGGCTTTAGTCAAACGATAGTCGAGTACTCGTTGAAATTTAAATTAATTTTTCATGTCATTTTTTTCCTATTTGTCTTTAACAGACTGCTAGCCTGTACAAAATTTAATCTACGCTATCACCATTATTCAACGAATTATTGAATCGCTAACATTTACGTAGTAATAAATATATGTATCCAATGTATTTGATTTCAAATATAATATTTACTGCACATTTTATCTATATACAGAATATGCTGCTAGTACAAGTACCCGTTATTGATTTCTTACTTGATGCCATTTAAATGTATCTTGTCAGTGACCTGTGATTGTTAAACAATTAAAGCGTAAACTCTTACAAAAACAAAGAGAGCTTGCATTAATTTTAATTATGAGATTTTTTTTGCAAACAATCAATACAATTTTAAAATGATTGATATTGATATCAGAAAGAAATACCTTTAAATTACGCTCATGACTGTATCCCAATTTACATGTATTTACAAATATGTCAGAGCTGTTTAATTATTCTTCATTAATTAATAGTTGCATTATACGAGATCTTACGGAATTGCAGGTTGAAACTTTACAATTTGGATCTGTCTGTTAAAGTATGCCTATGCATGTTTGCCAAACAAAAAATTCCTTTGAACAATTAACGAAGACCGGTTAAGCCTTTCCCTGAGTTTTACTCACGAGAACACAGAACACTGATACGTTAATAAATGAACTGAGCAGATCCATTTTTTTACCTTGATATTAAAATCACTATTACGTAGCAAATTTTTAACGAATAACCGACTAAAAGAAAATTAGTCTATAGTCGGTATGATCGAACGATAGTCGAGTACTCGAATATTCGTTGACATCCCTAGAAAAGTTAATAGACAAACAGAAAGACAGATGAACAGTGGGAAATCTTTGATCAGAAAAAAAAATTACATGAGCAACAAATTTCTTTTCTTATTTTTACAAACGAATAGTTTTTAAATCTGCTATTCAACATTTATTTTTGTCATGTCAAACTTTGGAACAATTTTTGCTACAGTCCATATTTAAATTTCACTTTCTAAGAATACTTGAAAATAAAATAAGATTGTGTTTTGTATTTTTTTGCCTAAAATCATTGTTTCATTCGGATACGCTGTACAATCTTGCTACAAGCAATGCGTGAAAAGAAATTCTGTTATATTACTATTTCATATCAGCTCTTGACAGAGAATGTCGCTGTTTATTGATAAACTTGCATTTCCAATATATAACACTATTAAAATTTTATTCTCAATTTTTACCTGATTTCAATATTCCTGGAAAGACCAGTGGGAAGCAGTGAGCAATTAACTACGTATTCAGAAATGTTTTACAGTACATGTACATGTGATAGGATATGTATATGATTTCGAATGAAAACGGTTGTATTTTCATAATTGTTAATCATATAAGTTAATCGATGGACCGTTCTTCAATATAAAGTAGATATTTGAAATTTAATCTTAAGAATATCAACATTATCACCATTAGGCCAGAAAATAACCCATTTATGCGATATCTTCCTGACAAGGAGTCAATTCAATTTTGTTCAAATTTGGTATCCAGGAGTTAAGGTGTAGCCACAACAGAGAGAATCATAATTTAACATTTAACAATAAACGAGGGTTGTTCGGTAAGTTCGTGAACAACCGTCATTACTTTTTTACTTAACGTCATATATCCAAATTTGGAAGAGATATTTCAACAGTAAATTCAAATGATGTGTATTAATTTTTTTTTTGAAAAATATCCTGGTTTATTTAAAATTTATTTAGACTTTAAAAATACGAAAATCGGATCACGGAGCAGGTCAAAATTTTGTAATTTACAACCAAGACAATAAATAATGTTTGAAGTCATATTTTCTGTAAAATGACACTTAAACGGAAAAATTCTACACGTTTAAATTAAGAATTGTTCCATCGTTTCCGATTTCACATTATGACTTAATATTTTGCTTCGTTGAAAAGAAATCAGTTTCAGAAGATAGATAGTCCTCATTGAAAAAGGCAAAAAAAAAAAAAGATGACGTGTAGAACGTCAAGGAGCAGGAGTTAACCATACAATTTTCTGTTTACATTGGAAAACTCCAGAAAAAAAACTCTGAAAATGCCGGAGGAAGTAGGATATATGTAAAAAGCGACCCATGCATGTGTGTGTACATGGTACAAACGGTATTTGAATGATAGACTACTAGGCTTAAACGATGGTGATCTGTGAGAAAACGGATTATCTGTAAAAATCTTTACAAAACATTGAAAAATTAGTAACGTCTCCCTAAGAGTTTGGCGCTTCACAGATTCTGTTCTTGTGAAAGCACACTTGTGCAGTGAAAAAAATATAACATTGACAAACAAAATGATGCTACTGGGACAATTGTTAGCAAAATAGATTTCAAGTGATAGATAAACATTTTAATGAGTGCACTGGTATTGGGCAATGCTGTGTGGAATGTATAGGAGTAGTATTTTTGAGAACCTCATGTCGGTATGTTTTTGACGTTATAGTGTTGTTGAGTTTGCTTCGTGGTTACAAAACGTGTTGATTTTAAAATTAAATGACATGAATTCTTTTAAATCACATGGAATGAAACTTCACACTTAAACAAAATAAATATCTTTACATAATTTATGATAATGTGCTCATTTTAAATTTCTTGAAGATAGTATAACGAAGATTGGCATAGTCCACGAACCTTCCGAACAACCCTCGTATTTAATAGTACATATATTTAACAATATTTGAATTTAACAACTGAATATATTTTTCTAAAAAATTAAAAACAAATAAATTTCATTATTTTCCCTGATTTTTCTATTGAACAAAAAAGGTACTTTAACTCAGTTAAGCTGAAATTTTACTTACATAATTGCAAAAAAGTTCCAAAGAAGCCATAGAATTGCCAACATATAGAAATAAACTTTCAACCTGGAAGTGTAAACAAAAAAGAATCTTAAAAAAATCTTCTAACACTGATTGTGCAAGATGTTTAACCATTTGCAAGAGTAATTATTTTTGTTTCTGTCCCTGGTCCTTTAAACTCTAATATACTGATATACAAAGAAATGGTTAAAGAGCAGCCAAAGAAAAATTGTTTTGAGTGTCTAGTTAAAAGTGTTATTAAGAGATGATTAGCGCACTTTATCAGTCTAAATCATCTAAATCAACCGATACAGTAGCTTATTAGAAATGTATTCACAGACCAAACAAAACGTATACATACATACATACATATACATATATATATATATATATATATATATATATATATATATATATATATATATATATATATATATATATATATATATATATATATATATATGCTTTTGATCTCTCATTATAATTACATTTAACATAAACACATGTGACTGAAGCAAATTTTGCATAATAAATATTTGCGCTTTACTATACTCTTTTCCCATGATTATAATGTTATTATTATGTAGGCAACAGGAGATAGTAGTAAATACTTGAGTAGAATAAGATCCCAATTATTGAAATGAAAATAAAGAACAGTGATTGTACTCAAAAGCTCATTTAAAAACAATACAAACTGTAATTCAAAAGAATCAATATGTAAAGGGTAGAATGTCTAAGATAGTACCTAATTTGCTATCTTCTGTTGATTTTCTCCCTATATAAAACCCATTTATAGTGTCATACCCCGTACATCCGCCAAGGTATTACTAATTTACGCGATAATTAATTTCTCGCGTAAATTAAGGAACATACAGTATGGAAAATTGATGTTAAAAGACAGACTGTAGGTGATATTCTTCTTTACATCGGTAAAAAGAGCTAGGGAATTAACAGCTGACGATGTTCGCCTACCCACAAAAATGAAATCATTCGACCCATCACGAAAACATGGACGCTCTGTACATGTGGTTTTCGAATGCAAGGGCTAAAAATATTCCAGTGACTGACGACATCTTATGATTAAAAAAAAATGGTGATGATCTTGGAGTTCATGATTTCAAATATTCAAATGGGATGCTTAATAGGTTTAAAACCAGACATTGAATTTCTTACCATGGTATATCTTGTGACAGTGCAGGAATTCATCCAGATCTCATATTTGACGGATGTGTGAAAGCTAGAGAAGCAATGTCCAACTATGATTTAAAAAAAAATCTTTAACATTGACGAAAAGAATCTTTCCACAGACAGGTCTTTGATAATAACGGATTCTAATAAGGGTGTAAAAATATCCAAGGACAGAATTACTGGAGCACTTGTTTGTAAAAAGAGTTTGAAAAAAATGAAACATTTTGTAATTGAAAAATGTTTAAAGCCAAGGTACTTTAAAAACTTAAATCATGAAATCTATGTTGAATATACCGCTCAAAAAAAAAAAAAAAAAAAAAAAAAAAAAAAAAAAAAAAAACATGGATGACCTCTGTAATTTTCAAAGAGTTCCTTTTGAAATATGACATAAAAATGCGTGTGCAAAATAGAAACGTGGTACTTATAATGGACAATACCCCAAGTCATGCTGTTCCAAAATTGAAAAAACTTAAAAATTCACTTTTTTCCCTCCTACCACCACTAGTTATTTACAACACTGGACGCTGGAATTGATCAAGCATTTAAAGCACATTTCCGAAAACTACAGCTTTATCAAACAAGCATGGGAAGGTGTAGCGCCCGACACGATTAGTTTGATCCACAGCGAGTTAGTCACTGACGAAAATCGATCTATAAATAAGACACATGTCGACGATTATGACCTTATGATGTCTTTGTAACAAGTTTAAGACCGACTACATGAGGTTGACCGTCCGAGAATTTCTAAATTTTAAAAATGCTTCTGAAAATTCACAAAAGTCTTCTGAATCACTGACGACTAAATATCGTCAACCGTGGCGAATTCAAGCGATAATACAGATCAGTTAGAGGACAATAGTGAACAAGAAGCTCCGCATGTTCCTACATACTTACAGACCAGACAGGGACTTGAATGTTTTATAAGATATTTAGAATCATAAGAATTACAACTGAATCTGAAATGAGCTTTTTACTGCGAATAGCTATTAAAATAAAACCATCAAAACAATCAGCAATTGATATGTTTAAAAAAAAAGAAGTGATTTTTCTGACAAGTATACGTTATCGTTTACTTGATATAAAAGCATTAAAATCTTGAAATAGTACATTGATAATAAAGATGTGTTCATTTATTATACAATATGCGCACATTATATTTCTCTCCTCCCGATGTAACGCCACCCCCGTTATAATGCCAAGATTACCGAGGTACACATGCTGGCGTTATAAAAAAGAAATCTGTATTTTCATTTATATTGAAAAAATACTTTGCAGTTCACATATTATACTTTACAGTTCACGTGGAATTAAGAAATCTATGCTTATAAAAATTAATATGAATGTACAACATCCTTATAAAATATCATCCTACGCTTAAAGCATTGGTTTTTAAAAAAATATTTTCAGTTGATATTTGATATAAAAAGTGAATCATTGTACGTAAGATTTTCCAAAGATTCTAAAATGATAAATACAAATTCCTTATATTTTGAAATTATTTATTATTAATAAATTGAAATTATTTATTTTCAATCATTATCACTACACATTTTCTGAATATTGGTGACAAAGCTAATTTTTTCTTTCATTTCTGGGTTTAAGGATGACATTTACACCGATGGTAAAAACAATTCTATTGATAGGAATGAAAAATTAGTTTTATACATTCTTCAGCTATAATGGAAGTGCTATTAATATCTTTCGAATAACAAGATCAATGACCTTTTTTCAAGCTAGTGGCCTCTGATTATTTCTCTTAAGAGGGCTGGGTGGTTGTGGCCATTTTCAGACTATATTGATCTCCTTTAGAAGAAGAGCTCCATATAAAGATATACAAAAATGATCAAATTTTAAAACTAAAATTTATGAAATTTTTGTTTGCCAAGTGATAGTTGACAGCTTAAGATATCATATCTTAAAGATTAAGTTATATCTGATGGTTAATTTGTTGACCCCCCAGCCTCCTTAATATCCCGCAAACTTTTACACTATGACCCAAATTTCTTCAATAGCAAACTCTTACAAGTAAACAACTCTCTAAATAAAGAAATATAATGAAAAAGGAAAGTTTTGGTAAATAGAAAATAGAAATAAATCTTTGAATAAAAGTTTTCAGTATTCAAGTCAAAATTTCCTCTGTCAATTTTCTAAATTCTACCCATTTTAAGTATTATTTAGAGAACAAGACAGGTACTGAATCGTAGATACAAATTTGGGGATGGACGAGTGCGTAGCACGAGTCTCCACTCCCAAATTTATATCTACGATACAGAACCTGTCTCGTTCTCTAAATGATTTGTGACACGATCGATAAAAAAGCACCGTTTCCATAATTGCGAATTTTCCTTTACGTTTGGATCAAAATAACGTGTAGATTCTGTGTGGAATAATTTTTTAAAAAGTGATTGAGAAATTCTGACATTTTACATTCCTAAGGAAATATTTCTCCGAAATTTATAATAGGAAAAAAAAATCAGCATTTACTATTTTATAAGTGCTTTTGATAAATTGAATAAGATTTATTTTTAGACGGTGCTGTATTTTAGATACAGAACAGTTGGCCAATACAAGACAGAATACAGTGCTAATACAGAACGCAAAGTAGCTCCGCCCACTGTAGTCTCGTTCTGTATTGCTAATACAGAACAGCAAACTTCAAAGAAAAACACCACAATCGTGTCACTATCTAACATTACAGAAGTCTGAATGACTATTAAGGTTCTCAGGAGGAGCAAGCATCTCCTGTCGACAGGTCACATCCACCGTGAGCACTTTGTCTACGTCTTGATCAAGTTGGATTATTTTCACGAGACCTTATTTTCTTGAGATGGTCATTTGGTAAAGAGACCAATTTTTTTTTCCGCGAAATTTGAATATTGTTCTATATAATCTAAATGATACGAATAAACGCGAGAAATAAATTATCACGTGCAGGCAGTCCTGCGTAATTACACACAAATAAAGTTCTCGGGAATAACAGGTAAAAGGTGATTTAGTGTATTCCGTTGTCAAATTTAGTATAAAAACAAAGACCTAACAATTGTTATGTTACGAAATATGTCAGTCAAAATACTCCTTGATATTAGGTTATAATTACTAACAAGGTCATCAGGATATAACGACCACAGAATTTACGGAGATATGACTTTCAGTGAAGTTGTAGAAATTCCTGTAACATCAGTTTATATGTCAGTAGCATGCCTCGGTTTAAAATCTGATTGTACTTAGAGCATGCTCGTTAGTATCGAAAAAGTTGGTGAACATAAACACCACATTCATGTGATAGCGGAATCTTACTACAAAAATAAGGAAAGTTGACGATGGAAAAAACCGAAGTCATCTCGTTTATCATACAATTTAGTTGTCCGCAGGGCCCTTTCGTCTATAGTTAGTAAAACATCCAAATATAAAACAGAAAGAGATGACGCAAACTCCGAGGTATATTTAATTTCGATGTCATTGGGATACATCAAGTCGACATATCATTGAAAGTAATTATTATAAATTGATAAAACGATGTCGATATATCTGAATGTCGTGTTGAAGCATACAACAAGTTTTTTCTTCTTCATACGTAGAAGTTTTTGAATAAATTCTGCTGCTTTATAGGAAATATTTTAGTGCAATGATAAAATTTTAGAAATATTTTGGAATGACTTTTGTTCATAATTCAGATTATCTACACTGCTCTCCATCTAATTATTTGAAATATATGTAGTACAGCTTTAACAAATATTATATTTTCAAATTAAAATAATATAAAAGAAACACATATAAAATAAAATTTTAAAATAAAATCGCTAGAAAAATTATTTTTCTAATTTAAAAGAATGAAAATAAAAATCTAAATTTCCTCTGCATAACCAAAAACATACATT